AGATAGATATAAAATCTTGGGAAAGGTAGATAGAAAGACTGAGGCTGAGAAAGTGAGTGATGAGTGAGTGAGTGAATGACTGAGTGATGAATGAATAAGGATAGGAAACTAGTTAAGAGACGGTTGCGAAAGTTCTGACATATCTAGGGTTAAAATAAGGTAGAGAACATTCATCTTTTTAAAAAACAGAATTTAAAAGAAAGACATCAGCAGAACCCAAAGATTGTTTCTTTTTAAAATAATATAATTTTTCCAAATTACAATCTGGCTACATATTTTTGAGAAGCTGAGATGACGGGTGGTCGTTTTTATTGCTTTGTTTGAAGCTATTTGTATTCTGCATGCCTGGACCCTGCTCTCAAACACAAGTCTATAAATGGACACATGGTGGCATTTATTTTATAGTGAAGCTCTCCTTGAGTCAAAAGTTAAGTGTTTGAGGCATCACCATCTTTGCATTACCCTAGAATTTGTTTGGTCACTTATTCAGATTTTATTGCACATATTCATTATTTTTAAAATGAGTCTAAATCAGAAATTAAAAGCCTGCTAGCAATTATGGGAAGTTATTTGCCTGACCAATGGTGAGGATGACTCAGGACCGGGCAGTACTTGGTTTTATTGCACACTGAATATTCTGCATTGCCTAATTAGTATATTCTATATTGCCATTTGTCCAGTGCAGGTTATTAACAATACAGACATGTCTAGAAGACAAATGATAAATTCTTGACTGGTTTCTCCATGATCCTCAATATGTACTTAATTAGTGATGTCCTCAGCACTTTGTGTGCATGTTTGTTCAATGTCAATTATCACTGAGTCTTTCTTCCACACATTCTTTAGGTACAGATTACCTAACTCCTATGTTGCTGAACTATGTAACTAACAACAACCTAACAACAACACCAACTATGTAGCAGCAGGTTGAATTGTAGGACTCAAGGGATTAGAATAAGGGCTGAAGAACTCACCAACCAGTTGGAGAGACAGTCAAGTAACAGACATAGTGGATACAATCTGATAGATGACATATTAAAGCTATAGCGGGAAAGACTAGTGGGAATTCCCATGGGATTTCCATAAATGTATGCTAGAGAATGAGGGAAAACATCAAAGAAGGATTTTTGTTTGATTTTATCATACAGGATGAACAGTAGCAAGATTCTCATCTTCTGTGTGGGAGACCCGGGCTTGCTTTCTGGCCAATCCACTCCATGCATCTCAATCCACTCTGGTCCTCACCCCATCTGTCAGTGGAGGCTTGCTTGTTGCTATGTTACTGATGGGAAACTTTGAACTAAGACAGACCAGGAAGAAAGACCTGCCAATCTACATGCAGAAAACCAGCCAATGAAAACCGTATGGATCACAATGGCTCTGACTCAGATGGCAGCTAACAAGAAGAAACTCAATGTCGCTGGAAGGCTGAGAAGCAGGGAAGAGAAAAGTGGTCCAGGAGAAGGGAGTGCTGAGTGGTCTTGTGTGTCGTGTTAAAGAAGTTGAGCTCTATGTACACCAGTGTGGCTCCCAATGTGATCTGAGGTCCACTGTGACCAGTTTCACTTGGGGATTTGCTCAAAATGCGGATTTCTGCTGCTTGCATGTGAGATGGGGTTCTTGGATCTGCATCTTCTGCGAGCATCCAGGTGATACTGACACTCATTATCTGGGTAGCCAACAAAGATTTTTAAACAAGGGATGGTATGATAAAATTGGTAGTTTAGAAATATGCTGTTAGACTAAATACAGAATCATGAGGAAGGTAAATCTACTGCAGTCAACTGAGCATTTGACTTGTGTTTTATGTGAGAGTCACTTGCAAAACTTGTACAAAGGCACGTTTTTCACATCTCACCCAAGACTTCCTGAGTCTGAATCAAGTCAGAGGAAGTTAAATACATCCGGCTGAACTAATTGAAACTGTCCTTTTATATAAGTTAAGAAAGGTCAAGCATCAACAAGTTCTTAGAGTTCCACTTAATATTTTTAACAACCCTCCATATAATATGAATATACATCAAAAATAGAATAGCTGATAAAGAGGAACTTGCTTTTCCTT